CAATGAACATAGGAGAGGAAGGTATCGGGCGAAAGTCTCCCATCAGCAAAATATTACCTGTTGTTCCAGATAAGTAGCCGCTACATTAAGACGAAAAAAATAGGTGTGTTTTCTGTCAGATGGTATCAAAAGCCTTGGATGGATCACAGAAAACTGTTATTCGATACTGTTTCTTATCTAAAACTTCATATATCTGATTCATTAGGTGGTGGACGACTAATTAAGTTCAGTAATTTGGTCTGAATCCCTATTAACAATTGAATATCAATTATTGGTTCTCGAGAAAAGTCATTAATCTTCTAAAATCGACCTTCAGCAAAATTTCCTCAGTGAATCTACAATCTTTACTATCCGTGTATGCATATTTATATACATGCATGCATGCATACATACATATATACATACATACATACATGTGGATATGTATATTTATATGCACAATACAAGAGATGTATTTGATCGGTTTCGATTATATCTTTGTCAGAGATATATTTCTAACGAAGATATAATTGAAACCGGTCAAATACATCTCTTGTGAAGATATGCATTCTCATTCATACCTTTTTTTATATTTGTCAACATGAATACGGTTCGTACATACACACACACACACACACACATGTGTGTGTGTGTGTGTGTGTGCATTTGTAGTTTTATAACCATGTATAAATGTTTAATAATGTCAAAGAAACGAAGGTCGCAAACTGAACGTCCTTTTGCGTTGGGCACATTCATTCGTCCCTACAACCTGGATTCACCCATTGCTGTTTGTCATCTCCGAGTTAATTAATTTCGATGCATGTTGCAGGCGCAGTTAATTGCTTTTGATTTGCCAGATATTGTGTGTCATATATTTTCCATTTATATTTTCAGGTTGAATCAGATCTATTCAACTGTGACGACTTTTAAAAACTGAGAGAGAGAAAAAAATATTGTCGCTTTATGTCCATTACACTTGTAGTAATACGTGTTATACGCAGTGTAATAAAGATTACTCTCTTATATAAATATTGATATTTTCCCTCTTCCCGATCTCATTACTTTTCCAGTGCCAGGGTGAAGTAATCACAAACAAACAAACAAAACAAAAGCAGTAACGTTATTTTCCGAACAAACAATCATTAAAGGGACACAATAAACAGGAAATGACAGGGAGGACAACGTGAAACAGACCATGCTAAGCCGTTTTCGAGATTAATAGCAAATCGATTGTCTCACTAATGAATGGTCAGTGATCGCATTCAAGGAAATTAATCCCGTGCCTTCGCCGGAATGCAGAGGCCGAGCGTCTGAGTCTCTGGGCGAAGGGATTGCTGTTGGGCGTCCAGTGCAGGCAACAGCAAGGGCGTCCAGTGCAGGCAACAGCAAGGGCGTCCAGTGCAGGCAACAGCAAGGGCGTCCAGTGCAGGCAACAGCAAGGGCGTCCAGTGCAGGCAACAGCAAGGGTGCAGTCCAGTGCAGGCACAGCAAGGGCGTCCAGTGCAGGCAACAGCAAGGGCGTCCAGTGCAGGCAACAGCAAGGGCGTCCATTCTAGGCAACAGCAAGGGCGTCCAGTGCAGGCAACAGCAAGGGCGTCCAGTGCAGGCAACAGCAAGGGCGTCCAGTGCAGGCAACAGCAAGGGCGTCCAGTGCAGGCAACAGCAAGGGCGTCCAGCAGGCAACAGCAAGGGCGTCCAGTGCAGGCAACAGCAAGGCGTCCAGTGCAGGCAACAGCAAGGGCGTCCAGTGCAGGCAACAGCAAGGGCGTCCAGTGCAGGCAACAGCAAGGGCGTCCAGTGCAGGCAACAGCAAGGGCGTCCAGTGCAGGCAGCAAGGGCGTCCAGTGCAGGCAACAGCAAGGGCGTCCAGTGCAGGCAACAGCAAGGGCGTCCAGTGCAGGCAACAGCAAGGGCGTCCAGTGCAGGCAACAGCAAGGGCGTCCAGTGCACGCAAGCGTCCAGTCAGCAGTCCAGGCAACAGCAAGGGCGTCAGTGCAGGCAACAGCAAGGCGTCCAGTGCAGGCAACAGCAAGGGCGTCCAGTGCAGGCAACAGCAAGGGCGTCCAGTGCAGGCAACAGCAAGGGCGTCCAGTGCAGGCAACAGCAAGGGCGTCCAGTGCAGGCAAGGCAAGGGGCGTCCAGTGCAACAGCAAGGGCGTCCAGTGCAGGCAACAGCAAGGCGTCCAGTTCCAGTGCAGGCAACAGCAAGGGCGTCCAGTGCAGGCACAGCACGTCCAGTGCAGGCAACAGCAAGGGCAGTCAGGCAACAGCAAGGGCGTCCAGTGCAGGCAACAGCAAGGCGTCCAGTGCAGGCAAGCAAGGGCGTCCAGTGCAGGCAAAGCAACGTCCAGTGCAGGCAACAGCCGTCCAGTGCAGGCAACAGCAAGGGCGTCCAGTGCAGGCAGCAAGGGCGTCCAGTGCAGGCAACAGCAAGGGCGTCCAGTGCATTAGGCAACAGCAAGGAGGCAACAGCAAGGGCGTCCCATGTAGGCTTCCTGACCCCAAAGGCCCCCGGGGATGA